ATATAGATTCGTTCTTATCTTTAATAAATATTTAAGATAATTATACTTTAACCTAATTTTTTAATATAATTATATAAATAAATTAATTCCTAATTAAATTACAGTTTATCATATATCAACAGAAAATTATTTATTTATTTTACTACCACACCCATTATTATTATTATTTATTTATACTTTGACCCCTAAATTTTTAATAATTATATTATTTTACAAAATTATACATAATAATACAAAATAAATTATATATTTTCCTAACTATGATTAAATAATATTAGTATAAATTTTACAAAATAATTAAAAATATGGGTTATTACAAATATGGTGGATACATACCAAACTGCATAAAAATAAATAAATAAATAAAAAGATTAGTGAAATCAAGCTACAACCAAACTGCAAAATTAAGGCAAAAACAAAATTCGAATCCTACAAATCCAAATCCTCCAAACAACACATTTCACCAAATCAAGCTTACTACCAAAATTGTGCAACTAAATAAGAAAAGATAGGATAGAATTATGCAACAATGCATACCAAAAAAAATAAAAGACAAGATAGAAGAGCCCTTTATTGGTTTTGTTTTTCCTATGGTAAAACAACCCTTTTTGTTTTCACCAAATCAAATATTTCTTGGGTTTCTTACCAAACATGATAGAAGATTTTTCAAACCCTTAGAAACACAAACACAAACACAGCCCTTTATTGGCCAAAAACTATCCGATTTGTTGATTAATTCCCAAAAACTATTTGATTTATTGATTAATCCCCAAAAACTGTATTGATTAATCCATTTCATGAGATGAGTGAAAACAACTCAGAAAATTTCCATAAATGATTAAAAAACATGAAGAGAGTGAGAGTGAGAGTGAGAGTGAGAATGGGAGAACTGAGACCTTGAAGGGAAGAGAGAGGTGTTACCTGAATATAACAACACCCACTGAATCAATGAAGAGCTGGTGAAGCAACGAAGAACCACCGAAGCAGTGATGGTGAATGGGTTTTAATACAACCACTGTGGCAAAGAAAGAGAGAGAAACAATGTTGATGAAATGGTTTGAAATGTTTTCAACTTTCAAGCTATATCCCACGGTGAAGATAAAAAGACAATAAATCTGAAATGAACAATCTCAACCTTTAAATCCATAGGATAGATATTCCATCTAAATTCAAACCCACTTCAATTAAAAAAATGTAAAACAATGAAACTCTCAACAACCAATTCCAAAGACTTTTGCTTGAACAATATGATATTGTGAATGGCCTATTCGTGAATTCTATAATTCTGTTAAGGGCCTATTCGTTGAAATAGAAAAATGAAATGTGGTTTAGATTTAAATAAGACAAAATGTATATAAAAAAAATAAAAATAAAAAAAGTTGATAATTGTAAGAAAAAATTAATAAACCAGACTTATAAATTTGATTTTAATAAACCCAATTTGATTTTAATAAATCCAAATTTTAATAAACCAGACTTCTAAATTTGATTCTTGCTCCCCCTACCCTACCTACCCCAATTTGATTTTAATAAACCCAAATAATGATAATTGTAAGAAAAAAAAGTAAAAAACCAGGCTTATAAATTTCCTACACAACCAACCAAAACAATGATCAATCACAAATTGTAAACATCAGACGCAATGCTTCAAACACAATATTTCAATCACAAACTGGACAATGTTTCAATCACAAATTGGACAATGTTTCAATGTTTCACCGAATCAATGTTTCAATGTTTCAATCACAAATTGGACAAACCTGTTGATTATTGAAATTAAAAATTATTGATTATTGAAATTAAAAATTAGAGTAAAGATTAACCAAAAATTAGAGTAAAGATATCCAAAGATAGAAATATAAGAAAAAGCCCAGGTTTGCTCACCTGAATAGTATGTATACCAGATTATTCCTTTGTTGAACACCCTTGTTCCCTTTTGCAGTCCCCTTGTTTGCAGTTGCTCCGTCGTCAATATTCAAGGGGGTTTAGGGCTACCACTGTTGATGAAGATTGGGATAGCGAAGAGAGGGAGAGAGGAATAGAGAAGATGAAGAGAGTAATAAGGGGTTTGGGGGTTTGGGGTTCAGTCGCCGACAAGGGTTGGGCGGAATGGGCTCCGATGAAGGTAGAGAGAGAGGAGGGGTGTCGTCGTCAATATTCAAGGGTGTTTGGGGCTGCTACTGTTAATGAAGAAAGGGAAGAAGGAAGAGAGAAGATGAAAAAAGGAAATGGGCTCTGACAGGGAATGGGCTCCAATGGAGAGAGAGAGAGAAAGAGAGAAGGTGTGTGTGTGTTTTCAAATTTTCAAATCAAAAAAAGGTAAATGGGAGAGGCAAATGGGAGTGAGAGAGGGAGAAGGTGTGTGTTGAAAATGAGAGAGACAAATAGGAGTGAGATATTTTGAGCCCTTAAATTAAAACAATCTAACGGTCCAAATTTTGACACAGGGACAAAAGTCACATCAAGATTCAAAATTCTGAGCTGTTTTGTTATATGCTCACCTGAACAATATGTATACCAGATTATTCCTTTATTGAACACCCTTGTTACCTTTTGCAGTCCCCTTGTTTGCAGTTGCTCCGTCGTCAATATTTAAGGGAGAGAGAGAGAGAGGAATAGAGAAGATGAAGAAAGTAATAAGGGGTTTGGGGTTCGGTCACTGGCAAGGGTTGGGCGGAATGGGCTCCGATGGAGGTAGAGAGAGAGGCAGGTGCCGTCGTCAATATCCAAGGGTGTTTGGGGCTGCCACTGTTGATGAAGAAAGAGAGGGAAAAATAGAGAAGATAAAGAGAAAAAACAGGCTCTGATGGAGAGAGAGAGAGAGAGAGAGAGAGGGTGTGTTTTCAAAATTTGAAATCAAAAAAAGATAAATGGGAGAGGCAAATGGAAGTGAGGGAGAGAGGGTGTATGTTGAAAATGAAAGAGACAAATAGGAGTGAGATATTTTGAGCCCTTAGATTAAATCAATCTAATGGTTCAAATTTTAACACAGAGACAAAAGTCACATCATGATTCAAAATTCTGAATTGTTTTGTTATATAGATGTGTATAAATAATGTGATATAAATAAAAAATTTATACATAAGTTTTATATATAATAACAAAATATTATTGAAATTGTATTTATTATCATACCACTCTTATGAAGTTTTTTATATATAAATTTTAGGAGAAACTACCAGTAAATCCCAAATTGGGGAATGATGATCCATTTAGTCTTGTGTTTTTTCTTATGAACCATTTGATCCTATTTAATTGGTAAGGAATATTTTCCTTTGATTTGGCATGGGCAAAGTTTACACATTTGCCCTTGTTATAATTTTGGTGGATTTTTTTTGCTCATTTGTGTGTAATGATTGAGATGGTAACGTTTTACATTTTAATTTTGTGTGTTTGATTTTTGTAGAGTGATATACGGTGGATGGGTTTCAATTGCTAATGTTGTTTTCTTGTAACGTGATAATTAATTTTGCTTTTTCTGGAAAACATCACGACGTACCACGTCACACACTAAACATATTACGACGTGTCCAACATAAATCACAAACATTATGAAATGAAATACCATACAACAAGACACACACTTATAGTACACAACATATTTCCACAGTGAACATATTGGTACGACACACAGGAAACATAATCCCATACTCGCCGATCTCACTCTAAAACCAACATGCACAACCAATGTCAATAATGGCGGGCACATGACCTAACGATTTTCGTGATCAAAGAATAATTTATGTCAGAAAGTCATGCACTGTCTGACGGCCACGTGGATACGCCACATCAGGTCCCCGTTATTAATTGATCAAAAATGTTTTAGAGCTCTAATATAAGAGTTCTAATAGCTCTAATGGGAAGGTGGGACCATGTGATGTTTGTGTCTTATTTTATTTTATTTATTTATTTTTTTGCTTTGACACATCACTAGAGCTCAAATTAGAGCTCTAGATTTAGAGCTTTCTAGCATTTCCCAATGTTAGATATGCCAAGTATTTTATTAAATATCTATTAAGAGGTTATTTTGGATGTTTTATGTGCATTTTTTAATTTTTTTTTTATGAAATATGAATTGAGTTTAAAATGATATGATCGAGAGATAATATAACTTAAATAAGATGATGTGACTTAAATAAGATAATAACTTTTTGACCTTTTAAATTTTTTAGAGTATGTCAAACCAGGCTTAAATATGTCATATAAGTGTGAGACCCATACAAGACTCATACTATGTGAGTCTTACATCCATGCGAGATATTTGATAAATTATTTAGAATGTTTAGTATTTTTCTTAATTAAATGTGAGATATTTAATAAAATATTTAGAATTTTTAGTATTTTTCTTAATTGATTCACGTACTATCAGTGTCTAAGATGTTGCGATTGGGAAAAAAATTTAAAACTCATGATTTTGTGCTAGATAATTAAACAAAAAGATATAAAAATTTATAATTGATGAAAATATTATTAGGTGGAGCTGGTGGAGTACCAAATAAATTTTCAAGTAATATTAAGAATTTTAAATATTTTATTAAATATTTTATATGAATATGATATACTGTATGTCTTACATTTATATAAAATATTTTTAAAAAAATAATGTTATATGTATAAATTAGTATATTAATTAATATATTATTTGATGATGTAACATATTTTAAGATACTTTTAATATTATAATTTGTGTAATAAGTGAATTCAATAATAATGTTATAACTAATATTAGTACACGATCATGTTTGATTCATAAGACGTGAATGTATTAATAATCTCATCAAATAGATAAGAAAACATATGAAGATAAAAGAGTCTTTTTATTTTGTTTCCCAACTCATGATATATAATCTCACCCTTACACCAATACTAATAATCTTATAAATTTATTAGATTAATTATGCATATTGGATTAATAATTTCATATTCTAATTCTATCAATCAAAAAATATTCTGTTTTGTGACTAACATTTTTCTAATTTTTCACCCATAAACCTTATCTCTTGCTCTCCCTTTCTATAAGGTTTTAACCCCTCTGTTCCGTCAATTCTCTCTCCTCCACAGAGACGTATTCAAGCTTCTCTCCCTGCATCCATGGCGTCTCTCTTCACAAAGCTCAATTTCACACCCATCTTGCACTCCCCCACTCCCACCCCAACTCGCTTCCTTCTCCATTCCTCAATTCACCCCAAAACCCCAACCCCATTCGCCTCCATCCTCTGCTCCTCCGTCACTCGCCCAAACTACATCCCCAACCGCATCCCCGACCCCCGCTACGTCCGCATCTTCGACACCACCCTCCGCGACGGCCAACAGTCCCCCGGCGCCAACATGACCAGCAAAGAGAAGCTCGACATCGCCCGCCAGCTCTCCAAGCTCGGTGTCGACATCATCGAGGCCGGCTTTCCTGCCTCCTCCAAAGACGACCTCCAGGCCGTCAAAGTCATTGCTCAGGAGGTTGGTAATGCGGTGGATGAGAATGGGTATGTGCCTGTGATTTGTGGGCTCGTGAGGTGTAATAAGAGGGATATCGATGCGGCTTGGGAGGCTGTGAAGTACGCCAAGAGGCCGAGGATTCATACTTTTATCGCTACGAGCGAAATTCACATGGAGTTTAAGCCGAAGAAGACGAGGGAAGAGGTGGTCGAGACGGCGCGGAGTATGGTGAGCCATGCGAGGAGTTTGGGTTGTGATGATGTTGAGTTCAGTCCAGAAGATGCTGGAAGGTCGGTTTTTGATCCTTGATGAACTTAATTGTTTGGCTTGGTGTTGGTTCATTAAAGCTTAGTTGATTTTATGAAAGCATAGTGACTTTACAATCTATTTGATTTTATAGAGCTAACATTCTATTTGGATGAGATGATTTGATGAGAGATGACTCTTTCTCACTGGGTTATAAATTATGTGAGAAATGGTAAAAAAGATAACACTCTTATTTTGCCTATCCTGTTTTCTCACACAAAAGTGATGAGTTTTGGTGAGAAATAAGATGATTGGTTATAAAGATTAGTTTATAGAAAGGGATGCTTTTTCATATATAATTTAATTTATGAATATAAATGAGTTATTTATTATCGAAACCATTCTAACCTTGTTTAAATTGTGGAGTCAAGAGTATGTTAATTTTAAGTAAATGATTTATAAGAATATAAATATTTTATATATATATATATAATTTTTTATTTTATTTTTATGTAATATATTCTTTCAAATTCAGTTAGTTACTTTAATTCCCACAGCACTCCATTTAATCAGATGAATTGGTCTGACCCTCTAGCTATTTGTATATGCTGTTTGTTCTAGTTGGTTAGAACAGGGCCCTGCTTTAGGATTTGTATATGTTTAGTTTGGTTTGTTGGAATAGTTTGGAAAGACTAAATAAGTGCACTTTTTGACTTTTTATGAAATATGGATTAGGTTTGAATTGAGTTTGAAGTGATGTGACTTAAATAAGATGATGTGACTTAAATAAGATAGTGACTTTTTGACTTTTTATCTTTTTTCAATCATGTCAAACTTGGCCTTAAAACTTGATGCGTGTTGCGCGTTTGGCGCGTGGCCGTTCTTTCAAGTCAAATTTTCACTATTATCTAAGTTATTACTACCTTGCTAGGTTTTAGGAGTTGGCATTTTGGTAATGTCAAATTTTGTATGCACATATGCTGAGTTTTGGTTCATGGTCCTAAACTGGTCATGCACTATAAAAATTTCAATTTTCTTGCCACAGTAAAATATTGTATTAAATTTTTTTTTACGATGGTAAATAATTTTTAGCGATGGTAAGTAGGGAGTCATAACAAAAAGTGTTACTAAAAGGTTTCAGCAACAGCACTATGCCATCGTCTTTTTTTTGCAACGGTAAAGTTATATTTTTACGACGGAATTTTACTGTCGGCATTAATATGTAAAAATCTAAGATTTTTTGAAACCATAGTGTGTTGCCATCGCTAAAGTGTTATTTGCGAAGGCAAAAAATACCGTCGCAAAAGTATTTTTATTGCGACGGGATAAATGTCGTCGTTAAAATATTATTTGAGACAACATGACATGCCGTCGCTAAAAGATTATTTGTGACGGCAAAGAATACCGTCGCGAAAGGTTTTTGTTTCAACTTTGCCAATATCTTCTGCGACAGCATTGCCTACGTCGCAAAAAAAATCTAGTTCTAATGTTTTTGAGACGACGTGGTGCCGTCTCAAAAAAAAAAAAAAAACTGCAATAAAATTATTAAAAATATGAAAATTAACTATATTAAATAAAAAACAACTGAAAAAGAAATCAATAATTACATAATAATATAAAATTTTCAGTATAAAAATAACAATTCATCAATAATAAAAATATTCTTGCATTCATAACAATACATCAGCAAAATTATCCCACAACATAATATTACATAATACATATACAATATTTAAATACATAATATTGTTCACAATTCAAAATAACGTAAATCAAAAATAAAAGTTTCCCTCATGATTCTTCCATGGGTAACAAAAACAAAAGTTAGTCGTAATCTTCACACGCCTGCATTCCACAAGAAGCAAACTGCTACTCAAAAAATATCTGAAAACAAAAAATAAAAATAATTAATGACAATATAATTATGTGTTAATATTTTAATTACAAAAAAACATAAAAAAATTAACTACTATATAATTACAAAGATAATTAAGTAACTAATTTTGGCTAGATAGAAATCTGGCTCTAACTCCCAAACCGGGAACTCGATTGGAGTCCCGTCTTCTCCCACAAGTCTCTCGTGCCTAGGCGGTCGTGTATGCCAAGTTTCATGCTAAACTGGCGCTGTTTGGTGATTTTGGGGCGTCAACACCTCGAATTCAAATTTCTTAAAAAACTAGTTTGCCTAGACCGAAATCTAACTCTAACCCCCAAACCGGAAACCCGATTCGAGCCACATCTTCTCCCACAAGTCTCTCTTGCCTAAGCGGTCGTGTGTGTCAAGTTTTGTGCTAATCCGATGACGTTTGGAGATTTTGGGGCGTCAACACCTGGAATTCAAATTTCTTAATGAACTAGTTTGGGTAGACCAAAATCCGACTTTAACTCCCAAATCAGAAACCCGATTGAAGTCTCATCTTCTCCCACAGGTCTCTCGTGCCTAGGCGGTCGTGTGTGCCAAGTTTCGTGCTAAACCGACGTCGTTTGGTAATTTTGAGGCGTCAACACCTCGAATTCAAGTTTCTTAAGGAACTAGTTTGCCTAGAGTGAAATCCGACTCTAACTCTCAAACCAGGAACCCGATTCAAGTCTCATCTTCTCCCACAAGTCTCTCGTGCCTAAGCAGTCATGTATGCCAAGTTTTGTGCTAATCCGACGCCGTTTGGAGATTTTGGGACGTCAACACCTCGAATTCAAATTTCTTAATGAATTAGTTTGCCGAGACTGAAATCCGGCTCTAAGTCCCAAACCGGGAACCCGATTGGAGTCTCGTCTTTTCCCACAAGTCTCTCGTGCCTAGGCGGTCGTGTGTGCTAAGTTTCGTGCTAATCTGACCCCGTTTGGTGATTTTGGGACGTCAACGCCTTGAATTCAAGTTTCTTAAGGAACTAGTTTGCCTAGAGTGAAATCTGGCTCTAACTCCCAAACCAAGAACCCGATTCGAGTCTCGTCTTCTCCCACAAGTCTCTCGTGCCTAGGCGGTCGTGTGTGCCAAGTTTTGTGCTTATCCAATGCAATTTGGAGATTTTGGGGCGTTAACACCTCGAATTCAAATTTTTTAATGAATTAGTTTGCCTAGACCGAAATCCGGCTCTAACTCCCAAATCGAAAACCCAATTGGAGTCCCGTCTTCTCCCACAAGTCTCTCGTGCCTAGGCGGTCGTGTGTGCCATGTTCCATGCTAATCCGACGCCATTTGATGATTTTTGGGTGTCAACACCTCAAATTCTAAGTTTTTCAAAAAACTAGTTTGCGTATAGTGAAATCTGGCTCGAACTCCCAAATCGGGAATCCAATTCGAGTCCTATCTTCTCCCACAAGTCTCTCGTGCCTAGGCGGTCCTGTGTGCCAAGTTTCGTGATAATTCGACGCCATTTGGTGATTTTGGAACGTTAACACCTCGAATTTAAGTTTCTTAAAAACTAGTTTGCCTAGAGTGAAATCCGGCTTTAACTCCCAAATCGAGAACCCGATTTGAGTCCCGTCTTCTTCCATAAGTCTCTCGTGCCTAGACGGTCGTGTGTGCCAAGTTTCGTGCTAATCCGACACCGTTTGGTGATTTTGAGGCGTTAACACCTCAAATTTAAGTGTCTTAAAGAACTAGTTTGCCTAGAGTGAAATCCGACTCTAACTCCCAAACCGGGAACCCAATTTGAGTCTCGTCTTCTCCCACAAGTCTCTCATGTCAAGGCGGTCATGTGTGCCAAGTTTCATGCTAATCTGACGCCGTTTGGTGATTTTGGGGTATCAACACCTCAAATTCTAAGTTTTTCAAAGAACTAGTTTGCCTAGAGTGAAATCCGACTCTAACTCTCAAACCGGGAACCCATTTGGTGATTTTGGGGTGTCAACACTACAAGTCCCATCTTCTCTCATAAGTTGTCAAAAAAGAGTTTGGCTGATTGAATCATGCAATTTCTATAGATAACCCAATTAAGCTTGATACTTAAACAGACAGAAGTGCAAATACATTCAAACAAAACAAGAAAATAGATACCAACATGTATTGTTGAACATTGACTTCCTTTAGAGTGAAATCCGGCTCTAACTCTCAAACCGGGAACCCATTTGGTGATTTTGGGGTGTCAACACTACAAGTCCCATCTTCTCTCACAAGTTGTCAAAAAAGAGTTTGGCTGATTGAATCATGCAATTTCTATAGATAACCCAATTAAGCTTGATACTTAAACAGACAGAAGTGCAAATACATTCAAACAAAACAAGAAAATAGATACCAACATGTATTGTTGAACATTGACTTCCTTAGATTCTTACAAATTAAAGAGGATATAACAAAATGACCCAAAACATGTTAAACAATTTGATATTCTATATGCAAAAGTTAAAAAAAATTCTCAAATAGGGTTGTGTTAATGTTTCAGCACAATGAAATTGCTTTACAAAAGTAAAACTTCAGTATATTTCATTTCCATCTTTTGTGAACATTGAAAACAATCTCTTTGTTGAACTAGAAATGATTACTTAGGTTAGGGAAGAAAAGAAAACAAGAGAAAAGATTGTGTTTTCTGTTTCTTTTGATTAGATAAATAAAAGAAAAAAGAGAATAATTTTCTCTGCTATCTTTATTTGAACTACAGGCAAAAATAAAAAAAAAATAAAAATAAAAAAAGAAAAACTCTCATTTAATATTACCAAAGAGTTAATTTTTTTTTATTTCTTCTACATCTAAAGGGACAGTTTTAGTATCATGAAATAGAAAAAAAATAGTAATCTGCTAGTAACATTTTTCTCTCAATCTCTTCACTTTTAGAGAGATTCAAAATGGGAATTTTAAGAGTAAGTCTCTTCATTTCCTTCCATTTCACCACATCTCTATCTCTTTATTAATCAAAACAGGTGATATGAACAAAAAGAAATGCATTTCTTTTATTTTCCCCAATCCAAACGAACTTTAAACTTTAACATTAATGCAATCACTCTTTTTTTTATACAAATCAATAAACACAATTGTAAAATAACAAACATCTAACTCTACAAAGAAATGGAAACAGAAGAAGAAGAAGTGAGAGAGAGAGAGAGAGATTATACCTCTAGGACCAAGAGTGAGGCCAACAGCATCAGCAAGCTTATCAATGCCTGCCTGAAGAGCAGACCACGAACTCTGGTCAAACGCGATCTCCTTCGCAGCAGCTCTCACCACGAACCGCCGACTCGAGGACGCCCCATTGTAATTCATCTTCTGACCTTGCAGTAGTTGATTCACTCTCATACTCGTCAAATTCCGCTGAATCCACACAACACAATCAATCAATACACACACACATACATACATACATACGGATGCATGCATCGGCAGCAAATAAAGAGTTGTGATGATAGTATTACCTGTTTGGGAGAAGTGAGGATCGAGGCGGTAGAGATAGCATTCGCGGAAGCCATTTCTGTGTGTCAATGTGTGTGGATAAGGAAAAAGTTGAGCGGAGAGTACACTGTGTATTACCGTTAGGGGGGTTTGGAAATTAGGGCTTTTCTTTTGGTGAATTTTCTATTTGAGCGTGAAAAGAAAGAGAGGGAGAACGAAATCAGAGATAGGGTTTTGTGGGAAATTCGAACATTGGGAAATTTGGGAGGGAGGTAAAAAATTGAGATCATATTTGGTTGAGTTTCTTTTAAAAAATGTATTTTTGAATTTTTAAAAATTATTTGATTTCGATTTTTTTAATTTAATTTTTTGAAAATTGAGTTTTTTATTTTTCATATATTTTTTATTTTTAGTGAATTTTTAAAATTTTAAGTAATTTTTATTTTTTATATTTTTAGATACACCTTACTGAGATGTATCTAAAAAATAAAATATTTGTTAAAAAAATTTAAAAATCAATAAATGCACATGAATTCAAGAAATGTGCTAAATTTTCATATATATATAGTATTTAGTGAATTTTATAAATATTTTTTTTCACAAATATTATATTTTTAAAGTGTATTTATGTGTGGTGTATTTAAAAATTAAAAAAAAATGCTTAAAATATTTAAAAAAATAGTGAAAACATAAAAAAAAATAATAAAAAAATTCAATTTTCTGAAAAATAAATACTGAAAATCTAAACCAAACAAGCTGATCATATCCTTCGAAAAAATTATATAAAATTGACAAGTATGGTAGTTTTGATTTTTAAATTTTTTTCATGAAACTAATTTTTAGTCTTTAAAAAATAAATTTGAATCAAGTTTTAGAGGGAGCGGCAGTAGTGGTGAAGGTGGTGGATAAAAGGTGATGGTGGTGGTGGTGGTGATGGCGAAGGAGATTAGTAATGAAATTGTGGTAGTGGTAGAGATGATGGAGTGGCGATGGTAGAGGAGAGGTAATGGTATTAGTAATGGTAGTAGTGGTAATTGTGGTAGTGGAATGATGGCGATGGTGGTAGTAATGGTAGTCATAGAGGTGGAGTGGCAACAGTGGTGGTAGTGGAGTGACATTTGCAGTAGTGGTGAAGGTAGTAGAGTAAACGGATAGAGAGAGAGAGAGATGAGTGAAAGACAGATAGAGAATAAAGATAGAGAGAGAGGGAGAGGGAGAGAGAAAGAGAGAGTGATGAGCAAGAGAGAGACAAAGTGGTCGCTAATAGTGCATTTTCTTGTAGTGGATTGATAAATCGAGAAGGAGTTCGATAAATAGAGAAAAGATGAGGGAAAAAGTGAGCAAGGTAAACATAGTGGGGAGAGAAAGAGAGTAGCAGACAAATAGACAGGCAGACAGAAAGAGAAAGAGAGAGAGAGAGAGAATAGTGATGAGTGAGAGAGAAAGATATAGAGAGACAAAAAAAATAGAGAGAGACAAAAGATGAGCGAGAGATAGACAGAGAGAGAGAGAGAAAGAGAGCGAAAAGAGATGAATGAGAGAGAGATATAGAAAAAGAGAGAGACACAGAGAGAAGAGAGATAAGCGAGAGAGACAGGGAGAGAGATAGAGAGATGAGCGAGACAGACAGAGAGAGAAGAGAAATGAAAGAGATGAAGAGAAAAGATATGAGAAAGATAGAGAGAAGAGAGATAAGCGAGAGACACAGAGAGAAAAAAAGAGACAGACAGACAGCCAGACAGAGAACAGTGATGAGTGAGAGAGAGAAAGAGAAGAGAGACAACGCAAAAAGAAAGAGACAGACAGACAGACAGAGAAGAATGATGAGTGAGAGAGAGAAAGAGAAGAGAGACAGAAACGCAGAGAGAAAGAGACAGACAGACAGACAGAGAAGAATGATGAGTGAGAGAGAGAAAGAGAAGAGAGACGGAGACAAAGACAAAGAGACAGACAGACAGAGAAGAGTGATGAGTGAGAGAGAGAAAGAGAAGAGAGACAGAGACAAAGAGACAAGAAGATGAAAAAATGGGTGAAAAGAGAAATGTTATATCAAAAGAGTAAGACGACGTCGTTTTTTTTATTTTTTATTTTTTTTTTGTGACAGAAAAATACCGTTGCATTTATTTAAACCATTTTGTGACTATATATATATGAAGTCGTCTCAAAGCCACAATATATATATATATATATTTTTATTATTATTTTTTTTTGCAACGGTATCTGACTGTAGCTGGTGCCGTCACAAAAACTCTATTTTTTTTGCAACAGCAATCTTTGTCGTCGCAAATACTCTTTTTTTTTTTTTTGCAACAACAATTTCTACCATCGCAAATACTCTCCTTTTCGCGACAGCATTTTCTGCCATCGCAAATACTCTATTTTTCGCGACAGCAAATTGTGCCGTCGCAAAAAAAAGTCACATTTTTCGCGATTTTTTCCAACGGCAAGTTGTGTCGCCACAAAAAGTCACATTTTTTGCGACGGCAAGTTGTGCCGTCTCAAAAAAGTCACATTTTTTGCAATGGAAAGTTGTGCCGTCTCAAAAGGTCACATTTTTTGCGACGACAAATGTGCCGTCGCAAAAAGTTCCGTCTTTTAAGCCCACTTTTCTTGTAGTGATGCTTTGTGTGGCTTTCAATTAGAAGTCAAAAGGTTTCAAATTCAAAAGATAGTTCTATGACAATTTATAGTCTTACAAGTTCTTATACAACCATGTAATGCCTTTAGTTCAATGAAGAGCAAGTTTGAGTATTTTATAGCAATTTTAAATTTCCCTTTGCAATTGTGTGAGGCAAATCAAACCCTAAGTATTGTGCCGATTGCTTCACCTCCTCTTCTCCATGTCTTACTTCTTGGCTTTTTACTTGTTCCTCACTCCTTTTGAATGTAAAACTGCATTAATTCTCCAAAGTTGAAGATGAAGATTAATGATGAACTTCTATTTTTTTTTTTAAGGTCGTTCCATTCTGAAAATCAAGCCAAAAGCTTATCATTGATAAAGCAAGTTGTACTAATATCATTTTGGTATCCCTTTAAGGCTCGGGTGGTGTAGGATGGAGTGGTGGAACAGTTTCAAAGGAGGTTAGGAGGTTGAGCTACCTGACTTTATACTGTTGCACTATCCAAACTTCTACGGCCAAGAGACTTAAAAGGTTGCAGAGTGATTTTCTTTGGAGCGAAGCACGAGAAGAATTTAAATATCATCTTGTTGATTGGGATATGGTAGCTCTCTAGTGAGAGGAGGAGGTTGGGATTTTAGAAGTTGGACATTTTCTACTAAGATTTATTGGCCACTTATCGTTCCTCTTAGATCGATTCATGCACACTGGATGTGGTGTTGTCTCACGAAAGGGGAGTTTAGAAGGGGAAAATAAATAAATAAAAATAAAAAGAGGGAGAAAATTTTAGAGAGGAAAAAAAAACATGATAAGGATTTATGATTCTTGCTCATCTTAAGGGAAGGTGTTAGAGATAAAATTCACAATATTAATCTTATCTTTTGAGATTTGTAAATAATAATAATGCCTGAGATAATAGATATCCAAATAATGCTCTCTCTATCTAGGGTTTATAGATATAATCAGTGGCGGAGCCAGGAATTTATTACGGGGGCACCCGTCACTACAGGAAAAATGGCCTACAGCAACATTTTTTTATATGGCGTTTAGGGAAACGCCACTATAAATTAACGAAACACAACGTTTTTGAAAAACGTTGTGTCTGATCTCAGTGAAACGACGTCATATTGGGTCAATGCATTGACAGTCAAAACCTCCGTCTCTTTGAACTCAGTCTCTTTTTCTCAGTCTCTACCACAACTCAGTCTCCCTCTCTTCCAAAACCCTCGATTTGAAGCTCTCACTCTCTCTCGCTCAGTTTCAAACACACACACTCTCGCTCGCTCACTCAATTTTTCATTCTCAATCATCGATTTGCTCGATTGCAGATCCAAAACCCTCGATGGTTTGCGCTTCATCGATCTCTGTCGCTCACAATCGAACTCTCTAGCTATTCTTCATCGATCTCTGTCGCTTGAAGGCTTTGCTCTAGCTGTTCTTCATCGAACTCGAACTCGATCTGTTCTTCATCAAATTGCAGATCCAAAATCCAAAATCGATATGTTCTAGCTGATCTCTCTTGCTCTTATATCAGGTACATTTTTCATTCTCTACTTTCTCATTGTCAAATCTGCTGATCTGTTCTACTTTCTCTGTAATTTTTTCGTTCTTTAGTTTAAAAAAAAAAAAACTAGCTTATATAATTGTTTATGGTCTCTAATTGGCTTTGGTATATCACTTGTTTGACAAACTATGCTGTTTTGATAGCTTGAAAATACACTAGTAAACTATGGTGTGGTTAAATTGTTGGCAATTTGTTGTCTGTTTTTAGATTTTAATATTTGCACTTCAAATATTAAAAGGTCAACTAGTTCAGTCTTCCAACAGTTAGAATTTGCAAGTCCATACCAGGTGAAATTGATAAGCCAAGCTTGAATGACAGATACCTAAAAGATGTATAGTTCAGATTTGTTTTAGCTACAAAGTAGAGCGTAATATTGTCAAATATAAAAACTACACATTCGAAGTGGCTGTTTCTGCTGTTTCTGATCAATTGATATATATATATATATTGCTGCTATATATGTTTATTTGGATGCTTTAGTTGGAGTCATCCAGTGGTTCTGTGCAAAAGATCTCTTTGGGTTCAATGATCTAGTTTGGTTTATACTTGTGTTTAGAAAATGTTTTGGAATTACTTGCCAAAATAACGGTGTTTAAATTATATATTGTGTTGATTTTGTTTTTTTATGTATAGCTTGCTTATGTTGACTTTATTTTTATTTTTTTTGTTGGGGGGGTTCTCATGCTGTGTTCTTAGTATTCTGACGTATTTTGTTTGATGACAGGCGTCAGATCATGAGATTCAGGATTCTCCATGTACGAAAAAGATGGTAAGCTACTCTGACATTAGTTTGCCTCTTATTCTTTATGGATTTCTTTTCAATTTCCTGATAAAATATAGAAATTCATGGTTAATGCAAGTTATGTTTAATTATCTGGGATAGCTTGCTTCAAGTTCATATCAAAATTTCTAATTGGGTGAAAACCAAGAAACTTCCATGTTGTAACTTTTAAGTTTCAACCATGTAGGTTTAATTGCCAGAAATTATAGATCGATATATAGTGGCTCATAATGTATCACCACTATTGTTGTCGTCAAAACATTAGAGCAATGTCAATGGTGGCCTCATTTTTGCTTTGTAAATCATACCGTTACATGAAAGTGGTTGTCAAGTTAACAGTTGTCATATAATTATCTCAAGAAACCATGCGAAAGACCAAAATTTAAAGGGAGCAGAGACAGATATACAGTCACATAGTATAGAAATTTTCTTGAACATTTTAGCAGATTTGTTCTTAAGGATTGAATCACTTTGGAGTAGTAAAGCAAATGAGAATTGTTGAAATGGTAGTTCTTTTATTATTATTATTTTTGAAATGGTGGTTGTCATTAATTTTCTTCCTTTAATCTGATAGTTCTTCCTTTTTTACAGCGAGAAGGTGGGCCGGCTTCCCTGTCTTCTCATCTGGAGGAGTCAACAACTGAGGGAACTTGTCCTAGTACAAGTATGGTGTTTGATTTTGACAGAAATTCATTTCCTTGTCTTGTGAAGGTGAATATGATCCTTCTCCTTTGTTTTAATTTACAGATATAAAAAAATATCATCCCTATAAAGCATTCTTTAGCAATATTGCTTCATCTTTGTATTTCCAATGATTTGGGCAGAGACAGATATACAGTCACATAGTATAGAAATTTTCTTGAACATTTTAGCAGATTTATTCTTAAGGATTGAATCACTTTGAAGTAGTAAAGCAAATGAGAATTGTTGAAATGGTAGTTCTTTTATTATTATTATTTTTGAAATGGTGGTTGTCATTAATTTTCTTCCTTTAATCTGATAGTTCTTCATTTTTTACAGTGAGAAAGTGGGCCGTCTTCCCTGTCTTCTCATCTGGAGGAGTCAACAACTGAGAGAACTTGTCCTAGTACAAGTATGGTGTTTGATTTTGACAGAAATTCATTTCCTTGTCTTGTGAAGGTGAATATGATCCTTTTCCTTTGTTTTAATTTACAGATATAAAAAAATATCATCCCTATAAAGCATTCTTTAGCAATATTGCTTCATCTTTGTATTTCCAATGATTTATGCAGGTATATGACTCTCTAGAAGCTGACTTGAAGTTGAATGATGTTTTTGAGTTTGTGGGTGTCCTCACTTTTGATCTGGAGCCTAGTGTAGACAAAGATGATTCTGATGAGTTCACAAGTACTTTATGTAAAGATGAATTATCTCATTCGCCTCCTAGCAAGGTTTTGAATATATCTTTTGTTTGCAAATATTTTGTCCAGGGTACAAGGCTTGTCCTCATAGTCACAGTTCTTTAATTTTATATAACGTGTTCTATGAAGCCCATACATCAGATATTATACCTTTTCATAGTTCCATCAGAGCATTTCTTATTCCAAAACATTTGATCTCAAATTTGTTGTGCTGGATTTATTGTCTATTTTTGTCTATTTTTTGACACTGGTTTTAACAAGGAACATGCGTCTATTTTTGGCAATCGTCTTAACTTTGCTGTCAAAAATCTTATGCCTTTCACTCATTCTTTAATTTTATTTAACGTGTTCTATGAAGCCCATACATCAGATATTATACCTTTTCATAGTTCCATCAGAGCATTTCTTATTCCAAAACATTTGATCTCAAATTTGTTGTGCTGGATTTATTGTCTATTTTTGTCTATTTTTTGACACTGGTTTTAACAAGGAAAATGCGTCTATTTTTGGCAATCGTCTTAACTTTGCTGTCAAAAAACTTATGCCTTTCACTCATTTTATACCTCTTACCGTGGATTATCTCAACACTGCTTCACTTTCCCCAAAAAAGGATTACGAAACAAACAGGTAAAGAATTTTTGGTTTGTGCAACTAGAGATTGACATCTGTATTGGTGATTATTTTCTTACAAGTTCATATGCTTATGCTCCAGACTGGTGTCTGGAGTTCTGCAGCTAGCTGAGGGCTCGCACATAATGATTGATGAGACACATTTACAAGCAGGGACACTCAACTCTGTCGGGGTTGAGAACGTAAGATTGATAAAGAATCTAATGGAGTTGCAAAATGTAATTTCCAACTTATGTCCCAATTGTATACATGTCATGTAGTAAAATCTTGCGATAAAGGTTTATGATAGGTGTTATGTACACAAGCATTGGAAAGCTGTATAATTTTACTTTGCTTGCATTCTCTCTCTTGGTGGTGATATGTGTTCTTTGGGTTCCTTCAAGTAACCCAACTAGGTATCCGTTATGACATGGACACATTCATTTTCTTATTTTTTATTTTGTCTACTATTCATAAACTATATGAACAAACTCTTTAGATGGTGATGGAGTTATGGGTTTTATTGCCTTTAAGAGTTGTGGCAGGGCTAGATGTTTGCAACTAGACACCCAACTTACTAAATTAGTTGAGCTTCAAACAAAAATCTGAGGTGGCTTAACCCTTTAAGAGTGTTGTAACTTTGAAGATACATTTTAGTTTTACTAGTGTTATAGGGACCTATGTTACATAGATGTTGAGATAGGACATGGACACATGATACATAGACGTTGAGATAGGACATGGACACATGATACGTACACCTTGAGGTGTAAATTCTGAAATAATAGGACATACCTTCAGATATATGTACTGTCTATTAATATATATGCATAAGCTATCATCCAGAAAATGTGGAAAAAGAAAAAGAAATGTACACAAGTATAGGCCTGCAAAGGCCATTCCCAAGTCTCTTCTATAGAAATTTATGCTTTTTAGTTTTAAAACAAATACCATTCAAATAATAGTATTAGTACTAGTTGTGGTGGTGGTAAAAAATAGTACTTTAGTCTCCATTGGATTGGGGTCTGTGAGGAAGTAGATTGGGCATAGACTTGACCTTTTGCACTCTTTGCACGAAGTGGGTGTCCTCGGGTTTGAACCCACAATCTATCAGGTTAATAAGCTGAGTTTTAACCTTTGAACCAATAGCCACTTGCCTTCCCGAAAACAAACAAAAAAAAAAAATATCACAAAACAATATCACATAAAGAGAATGAGTTGGTTTCGGGGATAGTTTGTTTTCAGGGATTGTTAATCTATATATGGATCTGTTTGTCTGCTTTGGTCTTTTGGTCCAAAGCATGTCTAAAAACTCATTTGTGTGTGCTTTGGTCTTTTGGTTTACTTATGATGATTATTATTAGAGAAAGAAATGAACTAAGAACTGGCCAGAATGGTAGTTAGTGACCAAGGAAAGATGGAAGTAACTAAGGATCCATATTACAGAGAGAAAAGAGTATAAAAGGTTCTATATAGGTCGTAAAAGATTACGAGGCTTGTTCTGGCATCATATGGGAGAATCAAAAAATTGATGAAATAAGATATTAAATCAAAACTAATAAAATAAGAAAATTAAATTATTTCAAATAAAAAAAAATGATACAATTTTACATTATTCTAGACTAAATTATACAGTGGACACACACAACACCACCCCCACCCCCACCCATCCAGACAAAAGAAACCTTTCATCTTTTTCTTCTTTTCATTGTGTCTATTACTTTGGTGTAATATGTGGGACAGCAATGATCTGACATCCCATATTCTCATAGATGAGGTAGGTATGTATTGCCTTGTTGACTGTTAGGAGTAAGCTAGCTTGTTTTCAATTCTATTTGCATTCTGAGCTCTTCTCTGTTTTGATTTTGCTACACATGTGATGGAAATATTGATTTTGTTATTTATACTTTCAATAAAATCTCTAATTAAAGAAATGGTACAAGAAATAAGCATTTGAATGTATATATTATACAAATCAAAATTAAGCATTATCTATGTTTCATTGTTGTTTTGCAGCTTGTTGGAAGCCATTGATCTCATCCTCCAAGGTGCTCAGAATCTTGTGGTACCAATAAAGTCCAATTCAAGAAGAAAACTGCAAGAATCTCCCACAGCTCACAACGGCTGTGAATTCTGCTGACCCAAGAAGACGTGATCAGATTTAGTCAAAATTGAAATGAAAACTTGTGATTTTAGAGTTGATATTTCAATACAATTACCAAGACTTTCTGACATTTAATGATCTGTCTTCTGCTTCTCTATGTACTGTTTGATGTATTGGTTGTTAAGATACAGTTCTATTAACTATTGGTATGCATATATAATTACCAAGTTATAAGTGTGTACATATCATAGATGAGTAATATGGCTTTGAAATTGGATGATTTGTGTAGATTGTTGTCTAATTTCATGTGGTATTTGAAGTATCTGGAGTGTGAATTTGAATTTTGTTTTTTTCGATTTTATTATAATGTATTTGGCTTAGTCTAGTGGAAAATTTGTTTTTTCAGATTCATTATAATGCATATTTTCTAAAATGGTATGCTTTGGACATAATAATAAATAAATAAATAAATAAATAAATAATTTAAATAAAAAAAAGAAAAAAAGTGGCGTTTTTGAAAAACGCCACTAAATGACGTCATGCTCACGTCACACGTTAGTTTGTGACGGTAATAGAAGCGGACGTCAACATTTTGTGGCATTTTAAAAAACGCTGTCTTATAGTTTTAGCGACGTTTATCAAACGCTGCAAACCTATTGCGGCGGCCGTATCAGGGGATTATTCACTAGCACGTTTAAGATTAGTTTCTTGATTTAAGCTTGCCCACTAGATAGCTTTCCATTATTAAGTGCCTCAGCAACTTTTGCAGCTTGCTTCTCCTAACAATATCTGACGTTTACATGATACTCCAACAACATTCACCACATTAGAAACCAAAGTGAAAGTAAAGCAACTTAATTATGATTATTTGCCATGGCTACAAGTGCCAATTGCAATTGATGAGCAAAACAATGAACATAATATGCACAAGGATTCTCTTTCAGTATAAGTGTTTTAAAACCATTGAACTCACCTTGCATATTACTAGCCCCGTCATATCCTTGACCCAGCAATCTGGAAATACTCAATCCAAGTCTGGAAATAAATTTTCCATAGCTTGTTTAAGTGAAGAGAGCATTCGTATTAGCAACATGCTCAATACCCAAAAAGTGCTCATCACTTGTCCTCTTTTTGTCAACATATCGTATTACAATTGCCATTTGCTCATTGAATGATATGTCAGGGCTTCATCAATCAATAAGAAAAAGTGCATCACCAAGATCTTTAATAATCACATTGATAGTTTCCAAATGCGGCCACATTTACAATGTCTTTTTGAATATCAAGAGATGTCAACTTGAGATTTTGTGGAGCATTGCTCAATGCAAACCATTGACATCTTCATTATGATTAGCAAGAAACTTGAGAAGTTCAAGAAAATTTTTCCTTGGTTACTTGAATTTTGCAGATTCATCATGCCCACGAAACGCAAGTCCTTGTCTTAGAGGAAATTTAACACAATCAACCGATGAATTTTAGACTGGTTTCGATATCAATTCAAGCTTGATCAAATTGTTTGAAAAAAAATACGTTTCAATATGCTGGTTTTTGGTTTAACAAGTCTTGACATTTACTCGAAAACTTGATTATGAAACTATTGGGACTCCAACATGAGTCTAAATTTTTTTTTTTTCTTCCAATTTGAGAAACCCTCACCACAAAAGAATCACCACCAGCTTGATCTCTAATATCGGGTTTGAAAAGATAACAACAATAAACAAAATGCTGCATCTTTACTACTACGCTATTACTCCAACCAATTAGGAAATTCACTAAACCAAGCCTGATTAAATCGCCGAAGTTTTTGTCCAAATGATTTTTGTGGAAAATTATGATCACGAGGTTGACAAGGACCTTTTTGTAGATATGCCCTACGAATTCGGTCTCGATCATAAGCATTACAGTCCATAATCCGAGATGGTAGTCCTGGATCTGCAGGAAGGTCTACTAAGTTGATTTCTATGCGACTTTGTTTTGCGGAAGATTAATTATCATCTTTTTCTTGAGAAAGAGATGATTCCAACTTTGATTTTCTTTTGAAATATTTCTCCATGACTATTTGAAAAAACTAAAAATCAAAATAAAAATTCATAATCAAAATCTCAAACCCCCCATAAATCAAAATCTCCAATTTTAATACAAATCAAAAAGTTTAAATTAGCAACAAATCACAACAAATCAAAAATTTTAATTTTAACACAAAATTATAACAAATCAAAATCACTAATTTAAATTTAATCACTCAAATTAATATTTTTAATTTTAGCACAAATCAAATCCTTAA